AAGAGGAGAGCTGGAAAGCAACTCTTCCTGAGTCCAAACCATCCTTTAAAAACAGCGTACGTCTATAGTAAATGAAGTTTAAATAGCAGAATATACATGCTGTGCTTTGGATTAAAAAAAAACGTTCTTTGGAGCACATGTGGGGTGGTGAGGTGTGTGATCAAAGCACCTGTCTGTAACTGTAGAGAGCAAGCAAGATGGCCTTCATGGAGATATTCAGGAGCCTTGACCTAGGCAAAAGGGGCCGAAACATTGTTTAAGCCCACCACAGACAGACAACATTCAGAAGTGGGTCAGGAAGATGCCTCCCTGATTCTCTGGAGTATAAGAGCAGGGGGGGGGGGGGAGGAGCAGCACAATCAGACTGCAGGATGCTGTTATTACAGCCCACCTCAATGGAAGTAGTTTTAGCTGGTTCTGGTCTACCTAGTGGGGCTGACATCCACTCCTTAAGTCAAATGCACTTTTTGCAAAGATCCCCCTCACTGCAGCCACAAAGAGCTGTTTTAGGAAGTCCTAAGGGCCTGATCCCCAAGGCCTCCAAAGCACCTTCCTGCCTTCAGATCAGAGGCCTTGCCTGGTCCTCGTGCGTAGAGCCATCATATGCTGTCCATATCAGATGCTACATTTAGGTCACTGGCTGACCTGTGGGCAGGTGAGTGTTCCTACCTGGAGAAGGAGCTTCAGTCGCGTGATGCGCTGGAACGGGAGAATGAGGAAGGACTTGAGGGAGAGGCGCTGGCAGACGGGGTCACTTTCCAGTTTCTCCAAGACCTGTTGGAAAGCAGGAACCCCATTCCTAGGCAGGAGAAGAAAAGGGGGACGTTACAGCGGAGGTGGAAGACTGGGATCTAAGGGAGGCTGGGCGGGAGAGACTTGAGGTCCAGCTCGACAGGACACAGCACGTCTGCTTAGAACTGCAGGACACAGTCCCTCCTGCCCTCTTGTGCCATCCATTTAAGGCAAAAAAAGCACCCGGCAGGCGTCAAGGGACAATTGCATGAGTATCACAGTGGGAAGTTTCAAGTCAGTGCAAACTTAGAGGCGTAGCACACTTCTTGCAAGGATGTAAGGAAAGCCGCCACTTTACAGCCCAGAAGAAAGATAATATAGAAAACTGTTTCATAACAAGGAGGCTTCCAGACAGCCAATCCATCCATTTCCCAATATATGTTGAAATGCAACTGGATTATTTGGGGATGTCCCTACTTTCGTACTTCTGGAGCTCACTCAGCATACCAACCAATGTTTGTCCTTGTGACTTCCAGCTGACCTATAAATGTTCAAGGACTCACCTGCACAGCCACCCCAAGGGATCCAAAGCTGAGGGGGTCATGAACTAACAAAAATAATTACACTCCCACTCCTGAGCAAAAAAAAGAAAACTCACTGACAATTCCTTCTCCTGCTCTCTACCACCCACCATTGACAAAAGGATTTTTTTAAAACAAAATGCATACGTAAACTTTGGAATTTGCTACCACCAGATGTGGTGCTGGCTAGCAGTTTGACTGGCTTCAAGAAAGGGTTGGACCAATTCATGGAAGTAATTCCAAAAAACATTGTTCAGGCAAGCAACATTTAAACCAGCTTGCATGCTACAGCTGCCTTCAAAGCACTGTGAGAAGCGAGGACATTAGGAATTTTCTGTTCTGCCTTAACATACAAGCGTGCATCAATTACAAAGCTGTAGTTTCGGAAGAGGAAAGGTTGCTTGGTAATGTGGGGCAGATTTGCTTAAAAAGCTTCTGCGGAGCCCTAGGAAGAGAAGAGGCAGGATGGGAGGCGTCTTCAGGCTGCTTACATCAGTCTCTGAAAGGTCTGCTCCTGGTAGGTCTGGTTCGTCACGTATGGCAAGTAAACCCTGCGGAATTCTGGTGCGTTCCTGAGTGCCACATCGCAGACGTTGAAGGTGAACATGTTCTCCTCAAGCTTCTCTTCCAGTTCAAAGAGGAAACTGCAGGCATCGTCAGGTTATCATGAAAGAGAAACAGAAAGTAATGACTGCACTTGTTTTGCTGACTTGTGGTCCTTCTTTCAGAGGAACGGAAGGGCCAAGGGGGACATCGCTGTCCCCAACGCAAGGAACAGGAAAAGCTTTACTTGGGTATTGGTTGCGTGCGAGGGAAAGGACTTTTTGGGAAACCAAATGTTCAGAGTAGGAGAGGTTCATCACTAACCATGATAGGAGTCAAATGGAACAGAGGCAAAGCAGGATAGACAACAGACAAGGAATGAGGATGCTGGCTCTCCTGGGGAGGAGAAGACTGGGTATGAATGACCAGAAGCCCAAGGAACTGGAACCTTCGGTTGAGTTAGAGCCAGTTTGGGGTTTCGTTGAGCATTTTGTGAACGGTCACCACCATTCACTGCTGTAAACTACTTTCCCATCTGTATTTTCTGTTTTTGATATCACTTTTTATAATCTTCACCAATCGTGTGTGTGCATGGCTGTGCTCCATGACAGCATCTGCCATGAAACGCATAGTGTAGTTATCCTTCAGGTGTGGCATGACTTCTTTTCACAGCACAGCTAACATGGGTGCAGCTCTGGAAATTGCTTTCAAAGTAACTTTAGCGGTGGGTCAAAATCAACATGTTCTTGTCATTTCTAATGTAATTCAGCCCACCACCTTCTAGAATGCAGGATTTTTCTTGGCATTGCAAGAAGTTTGGGGGCTGTCTGATTCATATGATTGGGTCATATCCGCTTTGATTGTTTTTGGCTTCAGGATATTACATATGTTAACATAGCCTTGGGGAAAAGTACAGCAGTTAAAGTTGTAAGTGCTACGTTGAATTATATACTCCTAAAACATAGCATTCAGCATTTTAAGAACTTTGCCTCTGTCAAGCCTGAGATTCAGCACGAGAATTATTCTACATATGTGGAAAGAATATTCACACACCTGATGTTAAAGAGTGAATTCAAGAGGTGTGTCCTCTGTTGATTTAGAAATGTCTTTATATTGTAGAAATGAGAAGATGGAGGAATATGCTTCTATATGGCCTGGCTTTAATACTATGTTAAAAGTCTGAGATAGTTCTACATTAATAGTATATGGATCCTTTTTTTCTTCAGTTTTAGTTCATTTCAATCAAAATCAAAAGAATTATTAACTTTTTTTTGACTGTGTAATCACTGGTGTAGTATTATTTCTTTTTTTATATTATTTTTTGGTTGTTACAGTTCACAATTAAAAAAAAAAAGCCAGTTGGTTCAGAGTAATTTTTGCTAGCATGGTTTACTCCAGTGATTCTCAACTTTTTTTTTCCCCCCACTCAAGGCCCCCTTCTGATCTTGTTTTTCACCTGTTGCCCCCCTCCCCCCCCGTCCATTACTGGATATGGACATGGGATGGTAACTGGTGTGTTTTCTGCTGTCAATAAGGCAGTATGTGCAGTATAATAGACTTTGCTTTTCCGTGGCCCCTTGGCATACATCGTGGCCCCCCACTGCATGTTTTTCACCTGTGGCCCTCTTGAAACATCCAAGGCCCACAGGGGGCCATGTGGCTCCCGGTTGAGAACCGCTGGTTTAGACAATATGACAGACACTGTTATTTAGACAAATACACAAAAGGATAAAAAAGTAAAGGAACACCCCCCCCCCAAAATTATACAATATGAGCTGATACTGAAAGTGTATCTTCCTCTGAAGCACCATATAACCTTAAGATAGCGGAAGTGAGATTTTGTTCCAAAAAGGAGCACCGTTTTTCCAAGTCGGGGAGAATTAACTAGTCCCCAGGGACGACTGCATGGACAGCTCAGTGCAGAATACTAGTTGGCTATGGGAAACAAAGCCCACTGTTGGGTTCTTGACCCTACTCAGTGTCCCAGTGGTTGACTTTCGAGAAGAGGAGGAGCAGAACTCACTTGGCGCTAACGTCGCGCACATCCTGAAGACGGGAGAAAAGCCACTGTTTGTCCTGAGTGGTTAAAAGTCCCTGAAGTTCCTGGCAGTGCTGGAAGTGGTCCACCGCTACGTTCAAGCTCCGCAAGTAGGAGGCTTCGGACGCAATTAGTTCAAACTTGGCCTGTTTTAAGAAGAGAAAAGCAACATCCCCAGGGCACTCTTAGACACCTAGTATTCTTCCGGACGAAACACCAGAAACCGCCCAGATTTGCTGGTTCCTGACAGAGGGGAAACCAGCATTTCATTTCTCATCTGCATCCTCCAGCAGAGAGATCTGGCACCCCTGCGGCTCATTCAAATCAGATCAGTCAGTGCATTAATTGAAGAAAATTGGGGGGGGGGGGAATGGCTAGATTTGGGAGTCAGCCCAGCCCAGATTAAGATAATCCAATGTTAATGGCTCTCTTTCTTGCTCCTATCCACCCCCCCCCTTTTGCGAACCTCTCTGTGATTAACCTCTACAGATATATTTTAATTAAAAAATGGAGCCGCTTTGAATTATTTTGGCCATTCAGCTACTGCTATATTGCTGACCTCTGTGCTCTCGTTGTCCTGAGCTTTTAAGATTGAAATCCTACAGTATATGCCAGTGTTTCTCAACCTTGGGAACTTGAAGAGGTGTGGACTTCAACTCTTCAAGGCTGGCTGGGGAATTCTGGGAGTTGAAGTCCACACCTCTTCAAGTTCCCAAGGTTGAGAGACCCTGCTCTACACATTTAGTTGGCAGTAATCCCTTCTGCAATCAGCAGGACCTGCTTCTGCACAAAAGAGTTTGATTATTTATTAATGTACCAGAAATGTGGATAATAGCTTCTTTTCCTTTCAAGCTGAGACACTGCTTTGGACCTTAGCAGCTTCTAACCAAGTGTTGGTTCTTTCCTGAGCATTTCTCTTCCTGAGCATTTCTTGCACTGATGTGCTCCAATCCCCTCTGAGTGGCCTGTGAGTCCCTCTAGCTCTTTACCTCCTGCAGCTTCTGCTCCTCACGGGTCATGCTCAGCAGCATGGTGCTTCCTCGGACCATGGGGATGTCCTGCCACAGTGAGGACCCTGACGAGACGGACAGGCGTTGCAGGTAGGAGTCCTGAGGGGACAGCCCTTTTCTTCGCAGCTTTGGGGAACCCAGCTCTACCTCTTCGGACAGGGAATCGGCCCGTTTTTGGCTCTGGATAGCTTTGTTCAGCACATCGTCGCTGTATTCCTGGTAGAGCAATCTTGCTGTAGGAAACAACCAACAGATCTCGTATGGGATCATAAGTCTACTGAGATTAGGAGGGACCATTTTTAACATACCACATGCGTAGTGACAGCTGACACGTGCAAATACCGTTGCACCTGTTGGTTAAGACCCAGCACGGTGAGAGCACTTTATTTGCGATCTGACAAAGTGGGGAGAATTCTGTCTTGTGTGTAACTTTCTAAATTATGAGAACTTCCGCCTAATGTCTTAAAAACAGGCAAGCTGAAAACTTCTCTATCAGACGGAACGATCTCTGCAGACTCTTCAACTGCAGGGGACAAATCAGGTTATTTCTAGAAGATAAGAGGTCTTTTCTAAGCACTGCCCCACAGGATGACCAACAGGATGTCCTCACACATCTCTAAAGTGGACAAGACTGAAGCTTATCAGCCCTTTTCTTCAGCATAGCTCTGGCCATGGAAGGAAGCCAGGGTGGGGAGGAAAAAAAAAGAACCACGACAGGGAGCCAGGTGAAAGGTCAGCGTTCTTTCACTGAGTCAACCTTTTTGGGTACAAAAATCAACTCGGGGTGAGACACGCAAATGGAGCAGACTCATGATTTCAACCTCGCGTGTTTTTCTTTAAAATCCCCAATACGTATGGGCTATGAAATAATTTCCTATCCACAGGATATGGCTTAGGAGCTCTTTTATATTTTTCACATTCTACTTTCCGATGCTACCTACAGAACAGGACATTTGGGACTTTCCATGGATGTTTTTTCTTCAAAACGTTTTAACAAGCATAAATAAAGGAACATGTTGTTTAGCTCAAGCTTAGCAAGACAAGTAATACTTACATGAATTGATCAGTCTGGAGTGTCGTCGTTTGATATTTTCTATTGTTTCTGTTGTTTTCTTCTCTCTTTCAAGGAAGGGAACATTTTTTAAAAAGGAAAATTAAGAAATCCCTCAAAGGAGATGGACCTTATCAATTACATCTAAGCATTGGGCAAAATTCACTTGTTCAGATTTTTATATGAATTTATTCCAACTGCATTCCTAATGCACGTGAACAGGGGGAAAAATGAACTTTTTCAGGATGTCACAGTACCGTTTGCAGCTGAAAACGTGTTCACAAAGATGCATACATTGATGAAAGCACACACAAGAATGTATTGTATTATCAGAAAATATATAAAGCAAAGCTATGCTAGGGAAGTGCATACAAAAATGAATTAAGAGAAATGTGCATTAAAACGCACTCAATCTGCACGTAGATGAAAATGAACTTAAGTTTAGAAAAATGAGAAATTGGAATTGCATTTACGGTTGGGTTCATAATCTATTTTCCTTGCAGAGAATGGCTGGAATCCAGAACTAAGCCATGTAAAATCATCTCCCTGATATTCTCAGTGTCTACATCTGAGGACTTTGTTATGAAATCCTACTCATAATGGACATGTTACAGCTGAGGTGCTCCAGATGACATTGTCCTCCATGATGTTTTCCCCACTGCTCCTTCTGTATTTCTCTCCCCGCAAAGCATCTTTTTAAGGAAGGAAAAGAGAACAGCTGCCCTGAATTTGGAAGCACTCCGAAGCATGAGAATTTGTTCTCCCCCACTCTTCTTTCTCTCAAACAGGTCACAGTGACGTGTGACAGATTAATCCTATGCTTGAACCAACTCCATCAGGCTGATTCCCACAGCCCCTGTTCTGTAGGGCTGCCAGATCTGGGCTGCAAAATACAGATGGTCCTTAGATGGCAGAGAAAGGTTAGAACAGTCTTTCTCAACGTTGGTGACTTTAAGATGGGTGGACTTCAACTTCCAGAATTCCCCAGCCAGCCATGCTGGCTGGG